TGAGAAGAGCATCCTGGATGAACCAGACTCTCCTCTAGAGGTTAGAAAGATGATGCATCACACACGCCCTCCCGAACTTATTGTAATAATTTTAATCATCTTGTATTTTAGTGAGTTTGTGCCGTCCTTTCTTTTTCAGCACCATGGAGAGCAACATGGTGTGTTTTTAAAGGCGTGTTGTGTTATTCAGTGTGACAGGAAAGGGCCCCCATACTTTGCATGCTGTTGATATCTGTTGAAATGCTTATATTCACGTTTAAATTGTATTATAATTAAGCTTTTTTTTAAGTAGAACACGATTGCAATTTAATTCCAACCTTGATTCGTTCTTTTCAGCCTTTTCACCTCTCTCTTCTTACACATGTTCTGCAGTTTTGCTTTCTGAACTGAATGGGCCGCTGTTGCCTAGTCTGTTGCAGTTGACGTATATTTACAGCAGTACCGCCCCTTCATTTCGATGTATTAGAGAGAATGGGCAGACGCAGATCGCATTGTCTTCTGTAGAGGGATCTATATACACGACAAGGCATAACGTTCATCTTTTCGCTTCAAATTTGAGGATTGTATTTGTTCCACTTTTAATTTGAATGAGCGTCCATCTTTCTGACGGATTTTACAAGGTTGCGGTTTCTTCTTGCCGAGATAATTTCAAACAATGAGACGGCAAGTACTGTTGTTTATCTCGATCCTCTCTTTTAGTTTAGTCTTCGGCCAGGTCAGCTACTCTATTCCAGAGGAAATGGTGAAAGGCTCTTTGGTTGGTAATATAGCTCAGGATTTAGGTTTAGACGCCAAACGATTGAGGTTAGGTAACGCTCGTGTTTATTCTGGTGATAGCAGAGAATACATCGAGTTGAATAGCGAAAGAGGAGTCCTCCTTATCAAAGAGAGAATAGACAGGGAGGCGTTGTGCGGTGATACGACACCATGTGCCGTGCATTTTCAGATTGTGTTAGAGAATCCCATGGAATTTTACAGTGTGACGGTTGAAATTACAGATATAAACGATAACGCACCAACCTTTGAAAAAAACGAAATTAAATTCATAATTAGCGAGTCTGCAGTTGTCGGGGCCAAATTTGATTTAGAAAGAGCGGTTGATTTAGATGTAGGTACTAACACTCTCCAAAGCTACGTTCTCAAGCCAAGTGATAATTTTTTACTTAAACTGCACAACCAAGCCGATGGTACGAAGAACGTTGAGATGATCTTGCAAAAACCTCTGGACAGAGAGAAAAATGAGTTTATTTCTTTGGCATTGACGGCTGTAGATGGAGGAGAACCGCAGATGTCAGGGACAATGCAGATCCTCATCACCGTGTTAGATGTCAATGACAATGCACCTGTTTTTACACAGCCGATATATAAAGGCAGTGTAGCTGAGAATGCTGCAAAGGGCACGATCGTTACCACTGTCAGTGCTTCCGATGCTGATCATAAATTAAATGGTAAAATATCGTATTCAATCACAAACACTTTAGATGACGTCAGACACATGTTTGACGTAAATGAGGACAGCGGTGAGGTTAGGTTGACTGGACATTTGGATTATGAAAAGAAACGAAACTTTCAGATAAATGTCCGCGCAAGGGATAACGGGGGACTAACTGATTCTTGTAAAGTGATTGTCGATGTCGTCGATATGAATGACAACGAACCACTGATTAAATTCATGTCTAAATCCGCTGTTATATCAGAGAGCGCAAACCCCAACACAGTCGTTACAATGATTAACATCCAAGACCCAGACTCAGGTGAGAATGGTAAAGTTCAGTGTTTTATAAGTGAGAATATTCCTTTCGTTTTAAAATCGACTTCAAATAATTTCTATAGTTTAGTTACTGACAGTGATTTAGACAGAGAGAGATCCTCTGAGTATAATATAACTGTGACCTGCTCTGATGAGGGAGTGCCCTCCCTCTC